CTGAGCAGCTCTGGGGCAGCTGAGTGGAGAAGGAAATGTGAATTTCTGGGGCAAGTCTGGCTGGTGAGCTCCTCCTCCAGCAAATTAAACCCATCATCCCCCCTGCTTTGCATGCAGGAAAAAAGGAATTCTCTGGAAAAGGTGGAATTTGTGTTGGGTGGGGAATTCCTGCTCCCTGGAAGGTTTTGCAGAGCTCTGTCCTCAGACCCCTGACAGCAGAAAATGCTTTCCTTGGGAATAATGGGGTTCAAAGCAGGTTTTGCTCTCAGTTTTTACTTTCCAGGAATACACTGAAGCCAGAATTAATCATCAGGACAAGGTGGTGAAAACGATTTCACTCAAATATTAAATGATGTTTGTGATTCCCAGCTGATCCAGGCTAAGTGGGACATGGGTTTTCCTCCCCTGACAAGTCAGGGCTGAAAATGTTGTCTCTTCCAGCAGAAAACAGCCCTGACATCATTTTTTAATGGCATTTATGCAATCCAAGTGCAATATACTTTGAATCAGCAGAATTTCTGCATTTGACAACGTGCAGATCAAAAGTTCTGCTGGTGAAATTTACCCCCAGGCCTGCGATATCAAATCCAAGTTTTTCCTCATTATCTGTTGGGAATGTTTCAGATACCAAAATGTGGGGAAAAACAACCAAATTCATTTTTTAATAAATACTTCTGTTAACTCATTATAGCCACCTTGAAAAGGAAAAAGTGGTGATTAAATTCTAAACCCCCCCACCTGAAATCTGTGGGAATTGGGTACCTGCCCTGCTTGTACCTATTAAAATCTAAGAAATCCCTGCAAGAATTCCTGCTGCTTTTATGGATTCCGAGTGGGCCATTTGGTTTGGTTTCCTTGGCATTTGTCTCGCAGGCTTCTTCAGAGAAATAAATCCACAAGTGTTTGCCTGTCATCACATGACGGGGCCGGGAGCCTGGATTGATGTAATCAGCACCAGACACACGTCAGAAAACTTCATGTGGCTCAGCAAAATACAATATTTTATTAATTCCTCATTTGGGGGCGTGCTTTAAATGAGCCTCAGGGGGTTCTTAGTTTGTGCCAAGAAATGAGAATGGTTCCTGTGAGTTGGTGTTGGTGGAGATCAGCAGAGTGAGGTTCCCTTAATGACAAATAACTTCTTAAAAAGCTGCTTTTATTATTCATTAAATTACAAATTATCCTGCTTTTTTTTTCCCTCTTTATACATCAGTAAATCTGTAGGAAGTTGTTGTTAAATATGGTGTAAAATATTGAGGTGGATTGGTTCAGAAAACTATCAGTGATGAGTATAAAATGCAATTTATTCAGGATATTTTCAGTCATTGCAAATCCTTCTAAAAATCTTAGAAACCTGGTGTGTTTCTTAGTATTGGGGTGGGTTTATTTGGTTTAGTTTAATATGCTACAAATACATATAAATAAATACAAATAAATGAAAATACAAATATATATAAACAAATACATATAAATAAACTACAAATATGTAGAAATAAGCAAATACACACATATATAAATAGTTACAAATACATAAAAATAAGTAAGTACAAATACATATAAATAAATACAAATTCCTGTTGTGGGATTGAAGCCATACTGGGAATAAACACAATTTGAAGAAGAACATCTTAAAACTTGCTCAGCTTTGGGATTAAAAGTCAGTTTTAGTCAGAATTGGTAATTTTACAGAAAATCACTGTGGTGCAGCTGAGGCTGAAGGGAATTGCAGTGGGAGAAGCAGGAGCAGCCCTTCTGTGTCCCACAGAAAGGGGGCAATTCCTTGGAGGGCTGAGCAGCCCAAAAATTCAGCAATTTTCTCCTCTTCCATTTCCATGCAGCAGCATTTTCCCATTTTTGGTACATTCTATGCAATTCAGGACTTTTCTGTACTCCCTGACAGCGTTTTGAAACTCCAAACATTGGAAGTGAGCAACAAAACCAACACAAAACATCGTTCCCTTTGAATTTCTCAACCCCAATTTTAATTCTCTTGCTTTCTCTTCATTTTGTTTTGCAGGTATTCCTTTGGTAAGTGACTAAAAATGACCCAAAAGCTGCAGTAATATTTTGTTGATGCATTTGTGGGTATGTAGCTTTTTCATTTTTCCAGCTTGTCTTGCTCTTCCTCTGGCATGTTTAAATTTTTTCTTTTTCCCTCTTGCCTGGCATATTTAAATTTTGATTTTTTTTTTAATTTAAGAGTATTTTTATTAAGTTTACTATTTTTATTAAGCTTTTGATTAAATTTCATTGCATTTATTTCTGCCCACATGTCCTTGAGGAAAGGAAATTTTGTAAATTGAGGATGAGGGGAGTTGATGGAAAGGTCATGTTTGAGATGAAGGGAATGAAGGACATTCCTGGGAGGGAATCTCTTGCTCCCAAACTCCCTTTCCAAGGTGATTTGGATATCAGGAACCTCTTATTCCTGTCATGGGCTTTTTCCTGGGCTGAGCTGCAGGTGTAGCTCTCTAAGAGGTCAGATTTTTTTTTTTTTTCCTAGTTGGATTATTTGCAGTTTTCCAACCCATTCTTAAATGGAAGTTTACAAATCCTGCTAATATTTCTCTGTGGAAATATTAGGAAAACTGATTTTCTGGGTATTGCTGCCATGGACTAACACCTTAAATCAACCTTTTATGGCTGTGTTTTCTCCCTTCAGAAATGGCATGGGATGGGTGGGTGGAGAAGGACTCTGGATCATGGCTGGAAATGGGATTTGTGTTTTGAAACTGGTTATTCAGAAAGGAGGCACAAGAATGGTCAAACTCCATGTGTGTGTTCCTGGGAGGTTTGATCCCTTTTCCTTCTGGGCATTGCAGCTTTGTCCTCATTCTCCATGGAACATTCTGGAGTTCAAGCTGTTCCTTGAACCATCTGAATGTTTCTGGGAATGCTGATGTGGAGACCAGAATATGGAGAATTCTCCATTCTGCTCCATGAAGCATTCCAGATAATTCTTCCCTGTTAGATGTGGATGTTTAATCCAGGGCAGCACAAACCCAGAGGACTGGGCTGGAGCTGCTCATCCTCGGGGTGTGCTGCTGATGGGTGTAGAGAAATGGTTTGTTTGTGTTGTTTTTCAAGTGGTGTTTCATATTTTTTTGGCTTTTCCTGGTGTCCCAAGTGGAGATCCCCCTCCAAGGAGCCCTTTGTACCCAGTGGGGTCTCTCCCTTCCCCGTTTTTGGCGTGAGGGCTCCTTCGGAGTGAGATGAAGGAGATGTAAATCTGCAGTTCCTTTTGTCAGAATACAGGAAAACCACAATATTTTTGTTATAATATAGCTGAAACAACAACATTGTCATCCATTGCTGGGGCAGAACATTAAATATTGCTGAGCTCTGGAAGCCTCATTCTTTGGGAGCATCTACTTCAAAGCAAGATCCTTAAAAAAAAAGAAATTCCTGGAGAGTTCTTTGTAAGTGCTGACTGTTTCCTATCCCCCTCCAGGAAGTGTGAGGGTTTTTTTCTTTTTTGCTACATCTCAGGATGGATTTTGGTAGCCTCTATTCAATCTCCAGGCTGTCCCTGTGAATTTTAAAGAACTCCAGAGCCTGGAAATAACAGCAAGCTGTGAAGTCAACTGGTGTTGCCACAGGTTTTGCTCTTAGTCCTGGTTGGGGAAAAGTGATTAAAAATCCTCCTCACTGGAGGGAAGGAGCTGGGAATGCAGAGCCCCAGGCTGGGCTGTTCATGCCTGGAAGCTGAGGAGCTGCTCAGGGATGGAGATGCTGGAGTCAGGCCTGGAATCAGCTGAGCTGGGACCACTTCAGGCTGAGTTTATTTTTATTCTGATGTAAACCTGGCTTTGGAGCCAGCGGGGTGGTGAGGGCACCTGGGACCTTCCCTGTGGATGGGCACAGATCCAGATCCACATCCACTTTTCCTCCTTATTTTTGGAAGGGCACTGTTCTGGTGAGGCTGTTCCTGGCTGGATTTTTGGGATGGATGGATCCATGGATGGCTGGATTTTTGGGATGGATGGATCCATGGATGGCTGGATTTTTGGGATGGCTGGATGGATGGCTGGATTTTTGGGATGGATGGATCCATGGATGGCTGGATGCCCTGCCTGCCCTCAGAGCAGGACCAGGCTGCTCCTCCAGAGCTTTCCTGGCTTCTCCATCCTCAGCCTAAATCTCCTCCTGGAGTTTTGCTGTTCCAAGGCCTTTCCCTCATGTTCTCCCTGGCCTGGCTCAGCTCTGCCTCTCTCCAGGTTCCCTCTGTGCTGCTGGGATTAGCAATTTCTGCTTTATCCTTCCTGAAAATTCAGGAGCTGTGTTCTGCTGCCTTGGAATGAGACCAGAACTGCCACCTTTGCTGATTCTGGTTTGCCCTGGCTTCTCTCCTAGAGCAGGAGGAAGCTTCTGCCTGAGATACCCCCAAGGACTCCTTTTTTTCCCAGTGAAAGTCTGATTCCATGTAGGGATTTATTATCCCTGCTCTAGCAGAGGTTTGGAAAAGGTGCTGCTCTTTTCCAGGCTTCCTTTTTCCTCTTTTTTTCTGCTCTGCCTCCTGGTTTTAAGGAACCCTGAGATATTCAAATGAAACTTTGAGGGTCCTGAGGCTGTCTTGGCTAAATAAAAGGTGGCACCGGGGAGTTAAAAGCAGGAAAAACCACAAGGATGGAGTGAGTTGTAGTGGATCTGTGTAGAATGAAAAACCCAGGGAAAATGAGGTCACTGTCCAGAGAGATCCTGAATTATCCCAGTGGTTTTGGATCCCTGTTCCCAGCAAGGAGCAGGCAGGAAGGGCAGGAGTGGCTCTGCTGCCCTCGTGGCCATCAATGGGATCATTAAACAGAAGGGATGGAGCAGCAGCTGATCCCATTTGACTCCTGATGCTCCGGAGTGTCCTGTGTGGAGCCAAAGCAAATGTTTCCTTAGGGATCATTCCAGAGAGCCTGGCTCCTGCTCTCCTTGCAGGCCAGAATTAGAAGCACATTTTAAAAGCAGAATTCTTTTTTTTTTCCCCCCTCACCCTCCCCCAGCAAACTTCCTTGTTAATTTTGGTGTGGAGAAAAGACAATCCCTGAACAAACTCTGGAGGTTTTTTCCCCATTCTGTGTAAACATGGAATGAGCAAATAACTGAGTTCCTACCCAAAATGCCCCCCAATTTGCTATTGCATCTATTAGCTCAGAATTTGAGCTGAAGTGTGTTTTGATTAGAAGTAGAATAAAAAGTTGAGAGCCGAGTATTTGTAATTCTCCATCACTTGTTAAATCCTCACTCTCTGCTTCGATGCAAATTGTTCCAAGGAGGATTTTCTTTTAAAAGGTCTTCAGGGATCTCGAATTTTAGATGTGCATTGACATAAAATTAAATGTTGGAGTGCACAGCTGGGGTTCTGGGTGAGATGGAGGAGATGTTGCTGCTCTGTGAGTGTTCCCAGGGAAGGGGGGGAAGTTTTCCTTTAGCTGCTCCAGCCTGGAGAGCAGCTCTGTGGTCATGGAGGAAAACGAGAGGAAAATGCAACAGCTGAGGTCAAACTTCAGGGGTGCAGGTCCTGAAGTTTGGTGGGGATGGGCTGAGCTGGAGGTTGCTGCAGACCCCTCTGCAGAGGGGGAGGCTGCCCAGGAGAATTCCCTTATTTTGAAGGGTTTTTGTGGCTGCTCCATCCCTGGGAGAGTCCAAGGCCAGGCTGGAGCAGAGCTGGGATAGTGGGAAAGCCTAAAACTCCCTTCCAGGCCATTCCAGTGTGGGATGCTGTGACATTCCACAAGGCAGCACAGCATCCCCAAGCTCTGGTTGTGTGGGGAGGCCCTGGCAGCAGGACATGGGCTTGGGCTGTTCCATGTTATTCCCAGAGAATTCCCAACCCTGGAGCCCAGAGCCCCTGGCAATGGCTGCACACCCAGCTGGCCACGGGCTGCTCTTTATTCACCCCTCACACCAGGATGGGAGGGCTGGAGCTGCTCCCCAACCATTCCTGCCTAATATTGGGATCTGCTGTTCCTATTGCTGCTGTAAGAGTGGGAAACTTTTCTCTCTGTCTTATTAAATCTATTTTTCAAGCTGTCACTTAAGCAGGTCTAGTGACAGAGTCGGATGTTTATGTGGCCCTGGACACTTGAACTCTGGTGTTTTCAATCACAACAGCACCTTTTGCCAGCCGGTCTGAATTAAAAACTCCCCCTGACCTTTTACCCCCGGCCCTCTTAAATTCATGCTTTAAAAACAGCTTAATGAGGGGTTTACTGGCCCAATTGGAAGTTTTTATTAAAACCTATTAGTGAGCTGGAGTAGCCTGCCTGAAGGAAACGATTAGGCCCGAGCAGCTCAGCTCAGAGCTGGCCCTTAGCCACTCCAGGTTTTCCCTAAACTGCTTCCAGACCCACGTTAACCCCGCTGCTGCAGCCTGCATGGAATTCATATCCTCTGCTTTAATTTATGCCTTGTCTGATTCCCTGCCCAGCCTCACCCTGGGCTTGGGTTTAATGTTGTTAGGCCTGCATTAAAGGGCAGCGGGGCCTTGGCTCGAGCCAGGCTTGTTTGGGAGCCTGGTGGTTGAAATCTGCTATCAGAAACCTGCTACAGCCAGGCTGCACTGGGTCTGGGAGCACTGAATCAGCAGGGCCACATAACCTCTCTTGAATTCCTCATTTCTTCCCAGAAGATTCCCTGTTTGCCATGGAGAGCTGCTGCCCCTTCCCTTGTGTGCTAACCAGCTGCTCCCAGCAGAACTGCAAACAAGATTTGGTTCAGGGCATGTAAAGTGGGGCTGAGGAAGATTTCCAGGGGAAAAAAGTAAAGATGTGAGGCTCAGAATGAGGAAAACACTATTACTTCCCATTGTAGAGGGGAAATATTCCCCCAGATCTTCTGCTGGCCCAGGGAGGAGGTGTGGAGCCTGCTTGGGCATGATGCTCCCATGGTCCTGCGAAAGCTTTCCATGAGGAACATCCCAGCACCATGGAGCTGGAGATGCACTGGTGGAGCAGCTGGGTTTGGGGTGAAATTGGTTTTTCTGGAGGACACAGGAGCTGCAGGGTGGAAATCCCAGCTGGCTTCTGCTGTCAGCTCCC